CTCTGCCATAGTAGCCCAGCTTGTGAAGATACCTGACAGCTGTTCTGGGACTGACATCAAGTTGCGTTGCTATGTCAGGCCTTGAAACGTGGATCCTGTTCAACATTTCTTTCGACAAGACACATGGTTCTTTCAGAGGGCCCAGGGCGGCCTGAATGAGGTTTTGTGCACATCTCTGGTGAGTTGTACGATCACTCTATTAACAGTAGAAAGGGCTATTGAAAGATTTTCAGATATTTTTCTTTGACGAAGGCCAGCTTCATGTTGTCCCACGATACGTCGTCGCTGAAATTCGGAGGGGGTCTGAGGCTCCTTTGGTTTGTGACATGTTCCAGTATCAAATAATCAAATAATCTAAGTTAATTTATCTTGGTTATTAAAAAAATCAGAAATAAAATTTACCTTGGTGTCTATTCAATTCTGTCATATCTGTATATATATATATATATATATATATATATATATATATATATATATAGATAGATAGATAGATAGATAGATAGATAGATGCGCACTACTGTACAGTAGGTGAAAGAAAAGAAAAAAACTACCTATAGTGTATACAGATTCTTCACTACAGACAGAAACACAGAAAAGCCTAGCTACAGATAAACATATACACATATTTACATATACATGCGCACACACATACACACATATATATCTACACATACACACATACTTATACGCATATGCATATATACACATACAGAAGCAAGCATAAATATGTCCAGCCACACAGCAACGTAAAAAATAAACAAACCAAATGTAAATATATATACATACATGCACATACATATATATATATATATATATATATATATATAGGTATATATATATATTTATATATATATATATATATATATATGAACTGAAACAAACATACATATATACACACATACACATATACAAACACACGAATAAATAATTTATATATATATATATATATAAATAATTATATATATATATATATATATATATATATATATGCATGGGGACGGCGTAGAATTGGAATTGTGTCTTCTTTACACTTTCTTCTTCTGATATATATCTATGTATATATATATACATCTTTGCCTTAAGTTAGATCATATAAAATATCGGAAAATTATTTTTCTTTAAAAAAAAAATGAAAAAGTTTGTACTCAATTATTTATAGATTTCTGTCTGGTTTTGTAAATGAAATCAAATATATCAGTAGTGGAATAGAACGAGGCTCAAATAAATGAATGCTTGAAGCATACGATTCTTGACCCCTGACCGTTCTCATCATTTGATGAAGTTACTATTTGCCGTACAGTGGAGAGAGAGGGATAGTAGCGGCAAGTGGATGATATCATATGTGGATGTAGGCGTAGTGATATGCATAAAACTATAAATTCGAGATAAAATAGTACGGGAAGCGAAACGGTTAACAGCGAGATAAGTGAATTCAGAAACAACAGATCAAAATTCTATTCGAGTCGATGAATTCATTCCGGACTAATGCCCATGGAGAGCCCTGAAAATTATTCCTTATTACATTATATTATTCTGCTTTCACAAGTGAATACATGGTAGATGATACTCCGCTTTTTATGCATATACATGTTTGTGTGGATATAATGAGGCGGTGATATGTGTGTTTTATTTTGTAGTTTTGTTTAAGTTATATTTTACAATACAGTTTGATTTAAGAAATTGTTGGATATTATATGGATTAATATCATGAAAGAGTATTTCATTTTGGTTGTTTGGTAATGTTTTAAACAGATATGGGTGAAGTCGTAACAATTTGTTAGTATCTGCGTATTGTTGGTAATTTTTTATATTAAAATCTATTGCTGGTATTATTACTATTAACATTTATATTTATACATCCAGTGTTTTGTCTTTATTTGAGGATGTTCACTATTTAGCTTAGACAGGATTAAAAAATATGTATCAATATTGTGATTTCCTTTCTTCTTTTTAATGATAATGTTATTAAGCTCATCAGACAATAGGAACAGAATTTACATAAAAATAAATAGACAACACTTGTCTATATTATTTAATGAAACATGCATTAATGAAAAATGCTTTATATATATATATATATATATATATATATATATATATATATATATATATATATATATACATATTTATATATATTATATATTTATATATATATATATATTATATTTATATATATATATTTATTATATTTATATATATATATATATTATTATATATATATATATATATATATATATATATATATATATATATATATATATGAATGTATGTATGTATGTATGTGTTAGTCCTTATATATGTGCATGCTTATGAAAGGTGAATTCTCATCGTTTTTGATGATATACGGATTAAATATTCAGTTTTCACTGCATTTATTTATCCGTAAAAGTCCAAATACCAAAACCTGAAAGAATCTTTAAATATAAAAAAAACTTTGATGGCATAAAGAAAATGAGATAAAAATATCCCATGTAAAAATAACGTGAATATCTCTGTTAGGAAAAAAAATCATTTTAAAATGTATATCATCTTATTTTTGCCGGGAAAGTAAATTGAATTTCAATTGTGTTTGGAGGTTAAGCAAAAAAAGGTTAAATTATTTGCTTGTATTAACAAAAATCTCACGTTTCGTATTTCATTTTTTTCTATTATCTAAACGACAAAAAACTCTGATCCAAATGTGAAGAGACAGAAAAGAAACAACTTTTAATAAATTGGAATCCGATATATTTTCACCCTAGGTTGTCGTTTTTTTAATTCATCATGTATTTTTTTTTTTTACCTTTTATCTACCTGTCTACTTTTTCTTTTCTCTATTACTTTCTTTTTCTTTTTCTATTGTCTTTTTTTAATCTTGTTTTGTTAGCCCGTCTTATTAAAATATACTTTTAATATTCGATTTATTAACATATTTTACCAGTTTTTAGGGTATGTTCTTAAACGGTTGTTCTTTCCTTCTTTATTTCCTTTGCTTTCGGGATATGGTTTCTTTTTTTTTTTTTATCTTCACATCGTCTTTTTTTTCTAGCATTTTATATTCCCTGTATCTCATTAACATGCTTGCTCGCGATTTTTTATGCTGTGCCAATTTAAATAGTTCCGTTTTATTGCAGTTATCTATCATCATCCTCTTCAGAATGTGTTTCAATATTGCTCTCTAGTTTCTTGTCCCTTGTAGCTCTAAGCAACGCCTGATTCATTGCCATCTATCTTTGTCCTCGCTCTGCCATCCATTTACGCAAATCCATTAAATATGTTACTCGATATCTGTCCGTCTTTTCCTTCACTATATCCTGAGTGTCAAGCCCACTTTCTTCATTATTTATCCCAGGTATTTTATAGTCCTGGGTATGACGAAAAACAATATCCGGCAGCATGGACTCTGATTGGGAGATTGGAGGTTGAGGAGCGTTTACCACATTTTAAATGATGTTGTTCCCAGGTCCACACTAACCCGGGCTGGTAGCACCTGTTAGGGTCCCAGATATGAGCAAATAGTCAACACCTAAATAAATACAAAACACTATGAAAGTATAAAAATACATTTTATACAGTAGGACACAGGGGGTCGGACTTGTCGGGATAAACAATAAGTCAACATTCAAGTATATCTATTTCAAACAACCAAAAATCTTTCGTAATGCGTCTATTTTATTCTTGACTTCAGCTGGATTCAAAACTAATTGTTTAAACTCCCTACTTCAAAAAGAAAGAAAGAAAGAAAGAAAGAAAGAAAATTAATGTGGCTAGTCAGGTTGCGTAGATCTAAACCCTCTCAGCCCTATTATACTTAATAAAGCAATTATTGCTTTAATTTTATGAATAATCTTTTAAAAATCTGTTTTTCAAAGAACAAAGTTTTGTTTCAATTTTGTTTTCAAATGGCTGTTTAAATAATTTTTTCTCTACAGTATAAGGTTATTTCAATCAAAGAAAGTGGCAGCTATAACTCGTTAAATGGAGGGTTGCTGTGAGGAGTGTGACTGGTGTAGTGTTGAGGAAATATTCAACTATTCTTATCTCTAACATCTTGATAACAATGCTATAAAACAATAAAAAATGGAAAGAGGGCAATAAAGAGACCCATATATCTAAGACTTTGTCCTCATTCTTTTCTCTTACATGTCTGTAGAATCATTACAATTAATATTAAAATACAAAAAGTTTTTTTTTTAAATTTAGTTTGCTTAAAGGAATCATTTTACCATCTAAGTTATACCAATATTATATAGTATATTTTATAGTAAAAATCCTTTTTTTTTGTATAAAAATTATTAACAATACATATATATATATATATAAAATTACTAACAATACAGTTTTATAGTATATTTTATTTGTAGTTGAGGGCATACAATTGTGTTCAAAATATTTAGATTTCGGCATTAAATAACCCATAGAGTTTGATATACTGCTAAACAAAATCAACCAACCAAATAAACCAGATATTTGAACTGTCTCCTTCTGATTTTACGTGCAAGTGTCCTGTTTTGTTTACGTTTTCCATAAAAGTGTCCTGTTTTGTTTACGTTTTTCATAAAACTTCCTTATATGTTCCGTCCATTTCTTCATCTCTGTTCTCAGCATCTGTGTTGCCTCAAGTCTTCTTTTCATCTGTAAACGAATTCTCCAACATTACGGACTGATGTTATACAGCAATTCAATAATGTTTTCTTTGTTTCTAACACATTTTCTTGTTTCTTATTACTGTTCCAATGTTTCTTTAGATTTCTGACTTTAGATGTCTTCCGTCGACTGCCTATAAAACTACAGTATTAATTTTGATTCATTTTGCTTTTGAGTTTTTCTTTTTCGTCTTCTATACATTATAACATACGCCTTCCTTTCTTTTTATTATATTTCCTAACTTTTCGTTTCGTTATTTTCGTTATTTTCATTTTTCGTTTCGTTTCGGTTCTTTGTTTTCTTTGCATTTTCGTTTCGTTTCATTTCTTTCTTTCTTTCACTTTCTCTCATCCTTCAATTCTGTGTTTTAAAAGCTTCTAATTCACTTTCTTCCCCTCTTTTCTGCTTCTTTCGCTTACATTCTCACCCTCATTGTCTTATTCCTTTTTATTCCACTCTTTCAAGTCGCCTTACCTTCCTTTTCTCGACGCCTCATAATCTTTTTTTCTGAGCTTCTTTACTTGACTACTTCCTGTCTTTCTCCCTGTCTTTCATTTTTACCGCCATACCTTTTACCGCATTCCATCAATTTTTTCAGCTTAGAGTACACAAGCACGCATACAGATCAGCGTAGGTGTATCTACAAACATTGTGCGCTTACAAATGTTTGTACATTGATACGAATCTAAAAGTGTGTGTCCTCATTGTCAGTAAGTCCTTAATTTCCTTTGTTATTTAGTGCGTCCATCCATATTGGGTTAAATTTATGTTTGCCTGTAATTGCCCGCCTACCTTTGAATATCTCACTATATCTGTTCTAGTATGTACATGTGTGTGAGTCTATTAGCCATCGATTATACTAAAGTGTCCTTTGTCTATCCAGCCACGATAAGGCCACGTCTATTCAAAGCCTGTTGTGAACAGACAATCAAGAAATAAAAGAAAGATAAAATAGGGAAGCCAACATACCACCTGTGGTTAATATTATTTTAACCTCGCTTTCATTTTCACTCTTTCATTTCTTTTTTCTATGGCCTTTTTATCTCTCTTCCTGTTTCTGTTACTGTTTTATTGCATCTGTCTTTTATTACACCTGTCTCTTTTTCACATTTTATCAGTTTTTCTTATTCTTCTTAATTGTCTATTTTTTTTCTTTTTAGCGCAAATATCTTTCTTTTCTTAGATTTCCTTTCGTTATCGATTTGAATACTAATCTTGTATATTTTTCTATTTTCCCACCTGCTCATCTCTCTTTTGTACTCCTAGTTAAAACATTTTGCTTCACATTCATTTGGATGTGCAATGAAGTGTATTATATCTACTTTGCTAATGTGCATATATATATATATATATATATATATATATATATATATAAAAAGAAATGGACAAAAGGTCAGACAATTTATTTATTAAAGACATTTTTATGTTTAATGTTTATCTATAAAAATAACAACGTTAAACATAAAAATGTCTTTAATAAATATATATATATATATTTAAGAAAATTTTCTCAGAGTTAACCCGTAGAAAAAGACAATATTTATAAATGTAAAAGATAACAGGAAAACTGTAATATTAGCCGACGCGTTTCATCCAATGTGGACTTTTTCTTGGCCAAAAAAAAAAAAAAAACAACAAACAAACAAAAAAGAAACGAAAAGAATTTATTAAAACAAAGTAACTAATAATAATTAAACAAAATGTCCTTGGCAACTGGAGGAATTTAGAAAACACTATTATATTCATATTGTCAAATGAAAATTACCTCAAGTACTGTCACAATATGAATATAATAGCGTTTTCTAATTTAGTCATTTTTTGTTCAGGTAATTTCAACTGTCAAATAATGAAACATATCTGCTAACTTAGCACTGTGCTTAAATTCGTAAAGTTGAATAAGAGAACATGTTCCATGAAAATATTTATACAAAAGCCATTAAAAAGCTACGTTATGGAGGTGGGGAAGCGACTACAGATTAGATGCCAGATCAGGACCGTTAACATTGCATATTCTTATTTGGATTTTCTCAAGAATCTTTAGATCCATAACAGAAGCACACGACCAGATGTGGTAGCAATATTCAATGCATGGACGAATGGTACAAGTGAGATTCTGGCCAGGTAAAATGTCTAGCACGAAACAAAACAACTTTCCTAGCAGCAACCCTAGAAATTGATTCCATATAATCGTTTCATTTTATGTCAGTGGAAAACGTGAACCAGAGAAGGCGAAATGAGTCACTCGTTTGGAGGTTAGCATCGGCCATGTTGATGAAAGGCGAAAATGTTACTCTCAGACGATTAAAACCATGTTTCATTTTGGAGGCGTAAAAATTAACAGACCATTTCATACCCCAGCTAAGAAAAGATTGTAGCTCATATAGAATAGTTCCTATTCCATTATTTTCGCATCTTTGAGTAGATTATATTCTGATTTGCAGAATGCGAAGGAAAATTATGAAGGAGCACTTCGACTTAAAACTTCTTAGTTGTAGCCTGTTGCACTTGAAAAATATCTTGTCAAAGAACTTATAACTTAATTCATTAATTTGAAGCCCTCATCAATTTTGTCGAGTACTGTAGTACGCCCCTACGTCTTCTTCTTGTTGTCTTATGTTGGTCGACTATTTCCACGAAGCACTCAACCTCTATATGAAGCTCTAAATTGATCACCAAAATTACTCTTGAGAAATCAAATTTCATCTACTTCATCGATCTATTGAGATGTTTCTCGGATGTTGCTTTTTGTGAAGTTTAATCAAATGTGGAAGCTTCGTTGCTTTCATTTATTTAGACAATGTTCTTAATATTCTGCATCTTTTTTCATCCGAGAAATCTTTTGTTGCCGCGGGACACAAGTATTTATGCGCGCGTACGCACCCTCGTCTTTGTCTGTACGTATGTTTGCGTGTGTGTGCTTAATAGTTGCACGAAAGTGTTATGAACAAGAGAAGAAAAGTATTTTACCAAGGACCTTCACTGACAAGGCGCTTATTTATTGGGTATATATATATATATATATAGCAAGACGCTTTGGTAAAGCAAATCGAGTACTCTCAGTCACTGTGTGCTTACCTAAAAATAAATACGCTTAAATTCACCTTTATCCTTACCGTGCGCCGATGGCTTATTGATAGAATCTCCAAGTGACGCCATTTAAGACGGGTTTCGATCCTAACTAGACGCAAATGGACGTCTAGTCACACTGATGAGCTGTAATACAGCGAAATAGTCTTCTGTGAATGACTATTATATATATCACGCCTTTATATGGCGCTTGAGTAAGCGGATGCATACTCGTGTAGGAGAATGTAATTGTGCTTGCGTATAGATGTTCATTTTATAACATTTTTTATGTTTTCCTTTATGTATTTTTACCTTGAAACTTAACTATTTCTATTTATGCAATACAACAGGTTTATCCCACGAAAACTAAAACAGCAAGTAAGATTTATCATTGGTGAACATATAAACAATATAAGTAACTCAGCTGACACTGTACTGATGGCAGAATCAGAAAGAAAACTGAGACATATCTTAAAACTGAAAAAGAAAAGCAAAAAGAAAGGACTAACTGTTAACTGTGAGTAGACTAAATGAATGGCTCTTAATAAAAGAAACAATCCCCTATGCGAGCTACGTATTGGAGATGTTAAAACGAAATCAATACAGAAATTTAACTATCTGGGTAGTACAGTAAAAGACGACAGAAATCATTGCATTGCAGACAATGCCTTCATGAAACTAAGCATTGTATTAAGAGATAGGGAAATTTTCTTAGAAACAAAGAAAAGATCTTGAAATGCAGCCTGATATCTGACAGTGGATGTTGGATAATCTGACACAAATGAAGAATAGATGCTAACTGATATGTTTCTATCGACGCATGCTGAGAATGTCATAGACAGTACGTGTGTGCAAAGAGGAAGTATACAGAAATAGATCAGTAACAAGGTAACTTATATTTGCAATCAGAGAAAAAATGAGGAAAGAGGACACAGAGAATGTAACATTCACAGGCATTGCAGAAGAGAAAAAACCAAGGTGAAATAGCGGTAAAATTCTTCACTTAATTAACAAAAGAGAGGACGTTGGGGAGAACTGCGATCGCCCAGCTCTTGAATCGATACGGCACATGAAATGATATATGCACTAAAAATGTGTCGAAAATGAGATATCTATTCGCATTGATATCTGAGCATGCAAAGATACATTATGTATATATTCATATAAGTATGTTGCAATTTGTGTCTGGGCATATGTCAAACACATTTTATTTTTCATTTTCTGTTGATATTTTGGGGCCAGACACAAATCAGGTCAACTTTTCTGTTGCGACAAATGCCAACCACACAGCTGTCTCTAGCGATAATATCGGGTATATATATATATATATATATATATATATATATATATAGAGAGAGAGAGAGAGAGAGAGAGACAGAGAGAGAATGTCAATGTTAATGTTACATCTAGTATTGCCAATAGTTGCGGCCTTCGTGATAGTGCGGTCAGGCAGGCGAACACGATAAACATTCTGTTTAACTGTGTACGACACAGGACTACTTGAAAAAGTCTATAAGGGGAAGAAATTTTGTAACGTAAACCATTTATATAAGGAGTATTTATAGAAGGAGTATTTATAGAAGGAGTATTTTCAAACCTGTTTTTTCTTTAACCTCGTGCTTGGCTACGGAACCGATTGAAAATATGGAATTATCTCAGTTACGAGGAAGCAGAAACATTAAATTATTATGATGTTTGAAAATAAGAATGAGTTTTATGTCAATTGTCAAATTGTGTCTGTCTATTCTTGTCTGAAAACCCTCTAACTCGGGCCACACTTCCTCAACATAGACATTTTCGTATTATTATTATTATTATTTTTTTTTTTTGTTGTTGTTTTTGGTGGGGAAAGGGGATGATGCCTTGATTGAAAATAGGCCTTTCAGCCGGTGCTTGAACATCCAACATTGAGATTTGTATTTGGATGATCTTTTATTAGGGTTTATATATATATATATATATATATATATATATATATATATATATATATAATAAAAAAGGCTTAAACACTAATATTCCATGGCCATAATTTATTCCATTGGACTCGTAAATACTCCAATTCATCAGACCTAAAAATTCAAAAAGAAAACAGAATAAACAACTCTGGAAATAAAAATAGAATTTAGAGAGAGTGTAAGTATGAGAGTGTGGGGCGAATGTTAGAGCTAAAGAGAGGGGTAACAGACGAGAGAAGGTGGAAGATTAAACCTTAACAGAGAAGTTTTAGAGGTGAGTTGAAGACGGTTTTAAGTGAGAGAAATATGAATGTTGTCGGATGTCTAATACATTAAAGATGTAACCGGAAAGGATACATTTCGTGGTGACATACACACACCATAGACGATCTAATCTTAAACTTCAGAATAAGAGGGAGGGTGAGGAAAAGAAAAGAAAAAGGGGTGGGGAGAGAGATGAGGCGGGGGAAACTAAAACTGAAGGGCATTT